TGGCGCATTGGCGCAGGTAGCTGGGGCAGCTGGCGCGGGTGGTGCAGCTGGCGCAGGTGGCGCACGTGGCGCAGGCAAAAAACCGGGTCGGTCTGGCCACGCCTTCCGACCGCACTCTACTTTTATGAACCACTGCATTATTACTACTGTTTTTGCTTCTATTATTATTGTTATCATAGTTACTGTTATAATTCTTGGTCATAAAAAAAGCCTTCTGTGGCCTCTGACTGCAGGAGAAGCGAGCACGCTCCCAGGATCAACTTGGTGGAAGTTTCACACACGGAAGCACAGCGCACCTTGTATCTCTGAGGTTCAAGCATGGCCCGTCTAGCGCCATGGAGTCCAGCTCTGGCGCATGTTCTAAGTCACCAAACGGAGTCCATCATTGGAAGTACGGCAAATGCAATTCGGCGAGATTCGGCCTGCATGTCTCGTGGATTGTAATTCGGGTTCCAGACTCAAAGAGTTCTTCTGGGTCAGGCTTTGGTGCTGGTTATTGGTAGGCAGACACTTTTCTCTCTACCACATATACTTCACGTTCAACGGGGGCTATGCTCTCAGGACAGGCCCTAAAACTCCCCTCAAGGGCAAAGCTGCAGACAGTCCCAGCTTGAGTTCTCCGACAAGACAAGGCAATTACTGCCAAGCAGCTGAAGGAAAATTGGCCAAGGGGCCAGGCCACGGGCGCACCAGAGAGTTCCAGCAAGAGCTGCATCAGTTCTCATGGAAAGTGATGAGCGTCATTTGTATTCGTGGTGCTTGGCAGTGTCTGTGCATTTTTGCAACGGTGGGTGCAGTTGAATAATGTAATGGTGCTGCGTAGAGCGCAATTTCTGCTATTGTATGCCTGCGCAGGCTAGACACCGAAACAACGCTGCCACACTGCTGTATGAGTTGAAGCATAGCAGGTGTCATGGCCAACCCCGGTGGCGGAGCTGAGTGCGACAGAGGTGGAAAGTGTATGTTCAAGTTTGCCAAGTGCACGATCCTTGCTGGCAGATTTGCTTTTGAGCTGCTGCTGGCAAGCTGTTTTTGGGCTAGAGGGGATGCATCGGTAGCAACAACTCAGATCCCATGGTTCAAAGTTCTTTGAACTGAAGCCAGGACCCCATCGTAATTCTAAAGCAGGAGCACAGCCGTCAAGAGCCCTGCACGTCCAAGATCAGCTTCGTCCATCATCCAAACGTGTAACCATGCCACTCCGAGGAAGTGTGGCCGGCCCGAGCTCGGTGGCAAGGCGGCGTGTTCCACTTGCTGGTTGTTAGATGTTGTCAGTAAGGAATGAAGGGATGGAAACAAAGATACCAACTACTACTGGGATCCATGCTCTACTAACAACCAGTACAGTAAGTCTAGTCACTGAAGCGGCTTGCAGCGCTGAGTTGGCAACTGGCAGAGCCGCATGCAAGACCAACCGGGCCTTCGCATCTGGCACACACAAGTTCTGTGACACAGCCCCCTTTCAGAGCGAAGGATGTGAGAAGGCCAAGTCATGAAGCTGCGGTGGTCAAGGAAATATCTTCTGAGGCCCTTTGGGGGTAAATCTTGATGGCATGTCCATCTTGACGGCACGTACTGCATGTCAAACTCAACTGTGGCCGGGGGTTGGGGGTGCAGCAGGCCAAGGCTTCTCCGAAAGTCTCTCCAAAAGCCTCTCCACAAAACAGCGTGGCCCTGGGCATTCTGCGGCTTGCTCGCTGAGGCCAAGAACGAAGCCTGTCTTGCAAGCACAGGTCCGAGGCCCCAAAGCCCTCTTCTTGGTGCTGCCGGTGCCACTCTCCTCAAGTCTGGCAGCAAGGCTCCTGCCATATGACAATTCCTGTAAAAAGATTGCTTAGCGCTAGCATGTGTATGTCGAGCTTTCCCCGTACCATTGCGGCAGGAAGAAGTGGAGCGAAAAGTTTCAAAGGCGCCTTTTTACCCATGGAAGCCCTCTGTAAGAATGGCATTTCACATGCTGATCATCCAGGAGTCACAGGTAGGGCGAGAACGAGATGAGCGTACGCGAGTGGAGTGCCATGTTTGTGCTGGCCTAAGGCCGTTCATAGTCCTTTTGTCCTCTCCTAGCGCCTTTGTTTTAAGACCTGCAGCTCAGGTGGATACAAGTCCGTTCCGCAATGGTTGAACGACAAAGCCCACTGCCTGAAATGCGATGCCGTGCTCAAGACCCAGTCTACCATCCACGGTGGAGCCGCCGTGCCAGAGAACATGCAAAAGGACCCGCATGTGAAAAGAGTTGAAGAGCAATGATCTCTGATAGCATGGCGCATGAGAATCATGGTGGTGAGGACTTGGGTGCCAGCCGTGCTCCTGGGGAAGCGAGCACTTACAAGCAATCGCCGAGCAGCGCCATGGAGTCTTCCTCTGGAAGCTGTTCAAAGTCTCCGGACGGTGTGCATCACTGGAAGTATGGAAAGTGCAATTTCTGCCAAGCTGCCGAAGGCAAGCTCATCAAGGGCTCTGGCGCTCTGGCCAACCCGGGCGGAACCAGCACTTGCAGCAAAGATGGTGGAAAGTGCATGTTCAAGTTCTCCAAGTGCACGAAATGCGGAAGAAAGGAGTTCTAAGCTCGTGCAAGTGTGCATGAGCTGGGTGCCTTCCACTCCAAAGTAAGCTCTTCATGCTTGGCCCCCATTTAGCCTGTTTTTGGGTCTCTGCGTCAAGCGCCACTCTGGACCAGGCTTTCTTAGATCCTGAAACCGTCTGAAAAGGCACTGACTGGGCCAGAGCCAGAGCCGCGCGAGGCTTGAACTTGCCTTTAGGCGACACCATGGCAACTACATAAGTGAGTGCAGTAGGATCTAAAATCTAAAATAAAGGCTTAGCAAGATTGCCAGGGTGTTGCAAGCTGTGCCAATCTCCTGAACGCCAGCGCGCGGCGACAACGGCCGAGGCTGAGCATACCTGTCGGGAAGGCAGCACCACCTGTGGCATTGCCCTGACGCCACAAATCCTTCGGGGTGTCGTCAAAATTGGGAAGTAGAGAGATTAATCGATCGTTCTTCCTGGAAAGGTTTGTGGCAAGCAGCGTTCCATCTGTAAAGGGTGGCAGCAGAACATATCCCAAAATAAACGCAATACGGAAGCAAAATAATGCGTCCTTGCAGTTGAAGGTTTGCAATGCCGATGCTTGATTCCTGCCGGCCACAGCAATTCCTGCGGTCGGGCTCTGCAGCAATCAGAACCACATGAGCGGCAGTTAAAGTTTCCAACAACTAGCTCAAGTTTTCGATCAACACGACTTTAGTTGATCCTGCAAGCCCTGTACAGTAAAACTGTAGGGGAGACAATGCACGATGCGGGGAACCCTTGTAATCTTCCGTGTCAAGTAAGCATTCTTTTGATAAATGCTACAACCCTGAGAAGCGATGGGAGCATGATAATCCAAGACCGTGGCCGTTAGCCAGGTAAAGAGTTTCGACGGTATGTCGTGCCAGCTGTGGCAGAAGTGTCAGAGTTGGACCCTCAGCAAAAGAATAAGTCAGCCTGGCTACTAGCTCCCGTACCCATCCGTACCGGTGCACTTACAAGAAGCACTAGTCCTGGTCGCAATGGAAAGTGGAGCTGCCGCTGGGAACTACTTCGAGCGCATGAACAGGTGCATGGGTCCATCAGGCAGTCTGTTCTTCAGTGCTGTAAGTTCAAGACGGGGATAGGCAAAGCCTATGGTATCCTCACTAATTATGGCAATTTGAAATTAAGTTCCTTAGCAGTGGCGTAAGCCTTGCAGAGAGCGGCCAGGTCAGGTGGCCAGCACTGGCAAGCTGCCGACCCAAAAGAACACTGGCCCGGGCTCCCAGCCTGCATGTGTAGGCATCCACTGACCACATATGTTGGAGAAGCGCATGGGCGCTGTAAGTGCAAAGATCTGTTCCGTTCAAAGCTAGGTAAACATGGAACAACACAAAACACGTTACTACGCTGCGCTGTACTTCGCACCACGTTGGCGAAATAAGCTTAGCGGGCGCCTCCCGCATCTGCCTTGTGGCTTAGGGAGGCCGCTCGATGGCGTCAGAAGAGGTTTCCAGGTCTATGAAGAAATGGAAGCATCATAGTTTTGTGCAGTAAGTAAGTTGGCCGCTTCGGTCGCATATCATGTTGTTGCACTCAGAACTGAGCATCTGGTGATCATGGTGGTGGTCATGGTGGTGGTCATCATGGTGGTGGTGGTGGTGGTGGTGGTGGTGGTGGTGGTGGTGGTGGTGGTGGTGGTGGTGGTGGTGGTGGTGGGGGGGATGGTGGGGATGGTGGTGGCGGTGGTGGCGGTGGTGGCGGTGGTGGTAGCGGTTCTGGCGTTTGCAGAAAGGATGTAGTGGCAATAGCAGGAATAGTCGTGGCTCTAGCTGCTCCTGCTACTACTGCTAATGCTGCTATTATGAAGACCACTACTATGACCATTGCTATTGCTACTGCAGTTACTATCGTCAAAAAAAACGCAAAGCAGTGGATGACACACAGGCCACTGTTACTATAATCAAAGCATGCAAGACGGTACATCCAGGAGAGTATCATATACACCTTGGTATTCACGTGCATATGTATGTGTCTATATATATATATATATACATATGACACATAGTAGCACTACCCGCATGTTTCGGATTTGTTGAGTCGCGGAACTGCGGGGACCTGCAATTCACAGTTCATCCCAGCCGGGCCGAGTTGCACCTTGCTGCAGCTGTGTGACAGCATAATGGCACCGTGCAAGCGTGGGGCTGGAAGTTAGAATCTTCTTTTGCTAGTTTATACAAAGGGGCATGCTAGTGCGAGCAATGGCACGTTGCAGGGTGGGTGCTGTTGCACTGGCCCTCATGTCTTCAATTGCAGCGTCTGCCGAAACCAAGGCGTGTTCCACCCAAGGGGCTTCATGTATTCAGATGCGGCAACATGTCAACAAAGACCGTGGGCAGTCAACTGCACATCACACTGGCATCCGCGATCCTACATACCAAGACTACAAGGATGTAGAGAAGTTGGTCTGGCAGGAAATCGAGGACTCCACTTGCCAGCCGGGATCGTGGGATTGGAGAGATGAGGACAAGGATTGTAAGTGGTTTCCTAAAATTCGGAACCCGAAGCCGCTGGGCTCTCGCCTGCTAAGACTGGCATTCCATGATGCAGCTGGCTTCATGGATGCCCATGTGGACATGAGCAATGCTGACAACGCGGAGCTTGACTCGGCAACTTTGGCGTTGGACCGCATGTACACCAACCGAATCTTGACAAGCTCGGGCGATGCCATCAAGGATGTTCTTACCAAAGCTGATTTCTATGCCTGGTCTTACATAGCAGCTGTCATTTTCGGAGCGGTTCAGCAGGACAAGAACGCGTTCCAGGAAACTGACGTTGTCCCGAACATACCTATCACGTTCGGTAGAGAGACTTTCGAAGGTGCGGAAGACCAAGTTCCGGCTGAGAGCTTCCCAAATGGGGGCCATGCAGGTTACGCCCACGTCATGGACTACTTCAAGCAAAAGTTCAATTTCACACCAGCAGAGGCTGTAGCCTTGCTCGGAGCCCACACGCTAGGAGGTGCCCGACTCTCTGCTTCAGGCTTTGCGGGAATGTGGACGCAAAGCAAAAACAAACTCAATGTAGAATACTTCACAAACATGATGGATCCAGAGCCTCTCACAGACTGTGTTGCAGGAACCTGTGTAGCCATAGATTGTGGCACATGGCCTTCCCGTTGCAAGAAATGGGAGCAGGTTCAAATGGGTGGGGGCAATTACCAGTGGCGTCACAGCTGTGATGCCAGCGGCGATGGTTGCACCCATTTAATGTTGAACACAGATATGGCCCTGCACCGCGATCTTGATGATTACATTGATCATTCTTCAGGGAAGGTCATCAGCTTTCCACCAAACTCGCCTCGTGGCAGTTTCTCGCCAACGTCCCGGATCTTCGCAACATGCTTTCAAGAAAGGGAAGGCGGTGGCGACGCCGTGGCGCAGTATGGCAGCAACTTGACGTTGTGGATCAATGACTTTGCCAAGGTATTCGACATCATGATTCGGCATGTTCCACTAGGTGTCACATTGAAGGAGTTGTCGACCACCACCACAACGACGACGACAGTCGCCAGTTGCGGTAGCATCGCTAATGGGATCGAATGTCCAGAAGAGTGCGCCTTAAGCGAACCCGGAGTGATGAACTGCCCAGCTTGCTCGTCTTGCATGTGTGGCAGGGGTACAAGGGGCAGACTCAGCAAATGCAGGCCTGGTGGCTGGACTCCGTAATCTTCGAGCAAGACCAGAGATCGGCTACTCGCAGTTGGCACTGAGCATCTCCTCGCCGAGCTAAAAGTGCTTGGCTGGTGCTGCACCCGATAATGAAACCGACGCTGTAGAATTCGGCGTCCTGTTTTGAGCTAGGCTGTAAAGGATTGATTTGCTGTGGCTAAAACTTGCTCAGCCCGCAACCACCAAGTGGCATCCTGTATAAATGTTCAGTAGGAGAGTGCTCTTCAGCGGCGGATGTTCACAGCAACTGTTCCAGAGGTTTACAATAGACCTCTGTTTGATTTCTGTGCGGCCGCTTGCACGTTTTGAAGGCTCGTGGCTGCAAAACAAGATATCAGATCCCAACATGTGCTGGAAGCGTAGGGTGCCGTATGTAGGGTGCAGTATGCTGCATGTAGTCAGCAAGAGGAGCAGCCAGCAGATGTAGAAGCACCTTTTGAAACAAAAAACACCTCTGAATGTGGGGAGGATTGTCAAATATTTGGTTCCTTTGCGGTACCCGAACTGAGGCCGTCCAGGATTTTTCGTGCGGCTGCCCTTCGCTTTGGACATGAGGCAGGGCAACTAGACAGCCCAATGCCCCAAATTCAAGATTAGACCTCCAACCATCTAGGGGTTCTTAGTTTGCTAGAGCATCTCTGAACTAGAGATTTGGGCTCGACTATGTCGAGAGCAAAACATCTCCCATGTGAGATAATGTGCTAGAAATCACGGAAATCCGTGTGTTATGAAGCTCTGCAAGCGGGACTCTCAGTGCCTAGTAAAAGCCGGAAAGCAACTTGTTCGCCGCGGGTTCATGCTGGATCCTCCAGTCCGCTTTTTTGACGTGAAGCGCTACCTCTGCAGTAAGCCAGTAACTGCCCTTGAACTCCAAAGCCGAACAGATCCAAACTGCATGAATTATACATCATTTTGAGACTTCTGGAACTTGCCTGCACCTGCCATACGCCGTGCGATGCGGCTGTTGCGACCCAAATGTCAGCCTGTGCGCAGGAGCCGCTTCACTCGAACTTGGCACTCCTGAAGGACTGGGCATGCGCCCTGCGCCCTGACTACAGTGGGTCCAGTGGGTTACGTGCAGCTCATGAAAGCTGAAAAGGAGAGCTTTGAGGTTCTGCCTCAGGCCCAGTCACGTGCTTGAACGAAAAAGATGGTTTTGAGTGGTGCCTTCGCATCTGGCTTGGGGGCCCTTCGAACGCACGCGGCTTGGTGACGAATGGGGTGGAGGTCTGAGTAACAAGCAATTGGGCTGTAGGAAGCTGTATGCCACTAGTCATAGCATGCTTAAAAATGGATGCTGCCTAGGCCTTGAAAGAATGTCCGAG